CTCACCTTCAGTTGTGATTTGTCCACTTGTTTACTCAGCTGTGACAGCTTATTTTGGAACATTTCCATAATATGCGAATAGTCTTCCTGTTTTCTGGTAAGTTTGCTAATCGTGTAGCGGTAGCCTTCGAGTTCTCGAGCCATTTTTCGAATATCTGCTTCGTATTTGTCACCGAGCTAAAAAATATCAAACATTGAGACAAAAACAGCTTTTTTCAGAGAAGAACTAAAATGGTAAGGTATTTTGGATTGAACATTGCAAAAAAATTTTCTAAAAACTTGAAAGAAGATCCAAGATTTTTATTAAAGACTAAAAATGTAGTAAAGTAAGAATTCTTCTTTGCATTGTAACTTCTGTGAAGTTTCAGCTCCTCCCATAAATCCTGCAGAATCCTAACTCCGCCCACAACATGAATTCTAGAGCAATCGGTCAGAAAAAGCTCACAAGCACAAGAATTTATGTGATTTCAGTCTCCCCCACATATCTGTATAATTTTTCTAAATTTTTAGTCCCGCCCAGATGGCTAACTCCGCCCAACAACTTATTCATAGCAAACAATTAAAAGCACACAAGCAACTTACTGATGCTCCTCCACTTGCTAGCGATGCTTGTGAGCCCAATATTTCTGCACCTGAAATTTTTTCTTCAAAAGTATTTTTAGAAGGAGCTGACAACACTGACCATCACTTTTAGTCAGCGCATGACTCGGTGATAACTCGTCCGCAAGTCTATGTAAGTGTATGCCATCACGGAAGTTGGCATAGATTCTGTCCGAGTTCTGCGCTCCACGAGCGGATAGGGATCCTAAGAATTCGTTAAGATACACAATATACTGAGAAACTTGAAAAATTTGGCTCATTTCAAAAATTCAAGGGTAACACCGATACTCGATAATTATCAGTCAAAAATAAACATAAAGTTCTTAGATTCCAAACAAAAACATTTTGGATGTGTTTAACAAAAATCGAAACTCTATTCTACTATAGGAAAGATTTCCAAACTAACACCAAAATCTGCGTTCTCTAACACCGTAACAAACCCGACAAGCATATGGTTAAGCGGAAAAAA